AATAGAAACGATGATAGGGATTGTTTTCAATCTGAAACGTCTGGTGAACCACAACTTTTCACACAAGTAAACTTAATGATTTGGTGAGAGATTTGAGCCTTCCAAAGGATTCTTTAGAGATTTGGGGGTCCAGACTTCTGGCTAAGAACTTACTTTCTCCAGGGACATCATTTTACTGGAACAGAAATCGTGAGAAAGAGTTTATATCATACTTTTCACAAGAAGGTTCACTGGTTTATTGCAACAATACTGCTGAATTAATACCAATGCTAGGAGCTGCAGTCTATGGACCAAGATAATGACGATTGTTCATTGATTCCTCCAAAAGAAGTCTAAAAGGTGTTCTCCTTCACGATGGTAACATATATGCATCTGTTTCTATTGCACATTCGGTTCACTTGAAGGAAGCGTACGAAAATCTCGAACTTCTTTATTAGGTCAAATGCAAAGAACATGGTTGGCTACTTTGTGGAGACTTAAAAGTTTTTAGTATGCTGTTGGGTCAGCAATCTGGTTATACAAAGTTTCCATGTTTTTTTGTGTGAATGGGGCAGCAGAGTACGAAATCAGCATTGGATAAAGAAGCAATGGCCACGCAGAGTCACCCTGTTACCAGGATCGAAAAACATTAAACGTGAAAGTTTGGTTGACACAAAGAAAGTCCTATTACCTCTACTACACATAAAACTGGACTTGATGAAGCAGTTTGTAAAGGCCTTAGACAGTGATGGCGACTGTTTCAAGTATCTATGTGGGAAATTCCCAGCTCTTTCAGGAGCGAAACATAAGGAAAGGATTTTTGTTGGGCCTCAGATTAGGAAATTGACTTCGGATGAACAGTTCGAAAGGATAATGAGAAAAGTTGAAAGAGAAGCGTGAATTGCCTGTAAAAATGTTATTTTTAGGAAACAACACGCCCCCAAATTACAAAAATATTGTCAATAACATGCTCGATACATTCATGGAGTTGGGTTGTAATATGAGCTTGATAGTTAATTTCTTACACTCACATATTGACTACTTCTCTGAAAATCTCGCTGTTCTCAGCGAAAAACAAAGGGAAAGGTTTCATG